GTCCTTGTTACAGTGTAATTATACATTTAAGTACTGAGTAATAATTAAGTGCAGGTACTTACTATAAGGGCTATGGTTAGAGTTTGGCTTAGGGTTATTTGCATGTAATAATGCATAATTTATTGTTATTATGATAATAAGTACATGTAATGTAACAAGGACACCTTAAAATAAAGTGTTACCTTTAATTCTTTTACATTTAATTGAAAATGTTCAAAGATTTTAACATTCTACACACATTTTAAAATGTTACTAATCAAAAATTAAATATGTGTCATTAGTCAGATGGTTTTGCACAAACTTGTGGCGTTCATGCCAGCTTCAGTGCATGTTGTCATTAAAGTAATACACTTAAGTACAAAATAATAATAATTTTTTTCAATTCAACAGTTTTAAATTTTATAATATTTATAATATTTTATATTTTGGTTTCATATTTTATTTTATTCACTTCTGTGTCCCTGTGCATGTCTACATTAGAGAGTCTGAAATCATTGTGCATGTTGTGTGTTTTACAGTGGTGGAGAAGAAAGATGGCAAAACGACAGTTGTAAGTTACACCTTCTCTTTCACATGTACATTTTAGAAAGGAATCAGTCATGTAGTCAAACAATATTCCATATTCTGCAAGGACAGTTCTTTCTTGAGCAGCCAGTATAGAACAATAACTCACCTGTATCATTTGTCTCATAAGAGATGCAATTAAGTCTCACTTCAGCTTGATACTATTTACAATACTATAATAATGCTTTTTTTTCACATTTTTATCAGATAGAGGGTGTTATAGATCCTACATCTGAGCAACCACAGCCTCCCAACCCCACAGCTTCCTGTCCCATCTACAGATGGAACCTACAAAACAAGTACAACTACACTGTAAGTGCTCACACGTGATGACTCTGTGCACCATTATCTTTATCTCGTTATCTTTAAGACTTCTCTCTCTCACTCTCATTGTTGATTCAGGATGTGCTGCTACTCAGTCAGTTCATTCGTTCAGACGGCGGGATGCTCCCCCGGCGCATTACAGGCCTCTGTGCTCAGGAACATACCAAGATAGTAATTTGTATACAGATGGCCCATCGTGCTGGTGAGTTGGAGCTTTCTGATGTTTATATTGTATGAAGATGCTCAGTGTTGCTCAGCTTCAATTAAATCAATGTAATACAACATCTAAAACTGTTTTAAACCACATTCTGTTAATTCTCTTTTTTAGAATTATTATGAATGCAGCATTTAAAATCTCATATTAACTGACTATATGTTATAATTTAAAATAATTTAAAAATATATATTATTTATAAATTAATATAATATATATATATAAACCTAAAATTTTAATGCAAAATTATATGCATCAGCTACTCTTATCTGTTAAGCTAAGATCATTTAACCAGTTCCTCCTCATTTCTTTCCAGGTCTCCTACCAGATCATAAACCCCCCTTACCTGAAGGCCATGTACCAAAACCTAAATCCAACCCACCTCTCAACCGGTACAGTCACCTCAGAAAGCAGATGTTAATGTCACATATTTGATGAGCCTTATTTTCATGTGCCATTTTTTTTTTTTTAGATTAGGTACCTCCCACTAATCAGACTGTCTCTTACGGTGTTACAGGTATCTGACGCGTTACTCTGTGAAGTCTGTGAAGCCCATCTACAAGACAGGGCTGAAGTGGTGTAAGAAGAGAATGAGTGTAGGACATCCTGCCCTGAAAAACAACGTCAGATACAGCCCCAAACCACTGTACATAAAGCACTGATGGACACAGCTGTTTACTCAATCTAAATAGTGACTTTCATGGGACCGAGAGGATCTATGACAAAGGATTTGCACCTTTGCGTGGTGCCTCTTGCACAAAGACACTGTGAGAGAACCAGTGTGCACTGAAACATCAAGATGCAAATTCAGAGATCACTGTAATGTAACTAGAGCTGTATGTTCAGCCCTCTGATTTGGCTTTCCACCATGTGATTTGAAGAAATTATAAATTATATTATTGCAAAGGCAGATTTTCAAATAAAATGTTTACCTCACTTGCAGACGTTTCTAAGTTTGTACGTGTTTGTGCCAGAGAAAAACCAAGGTACACTTTTGTGACTGCCTTAAAGGTTGAAACACCAATGCAACTTCAACTT